GGTTTATATCTGGGCTCTGTATTCTGTTCATTGATCTATGGGTCTGTTCTTGTGCCAGTGCCAAATTGTCTTGATTACTGTGGCTTTATAGTAGAGCTTGAAGTTGGGGTGTGTAATTCCCACAGGTTTATTCTTCCTTCTTAGGATTGCTTTGGCTATTCGTGGTCTTTTGTGGTTCCATATGAATTATAGAACTATTTGTTCTAGTTCATTGAAGAATGCCATTGGTAATTTGATAGGGATTGCATTGAATTTGTAGATTGCTTTTAGGGAGGATTGCCATTTTCACAATATTAATTCTTCCTATGAGCACGGGATATATTTTCATTTGTTGGTGTCCTCTTTAATTTCTCTTATGAGTGTCTTATAGTTTTCAGAGAAAAGGTCTTTTACTTCCTTGGTTAGGTTTATTCCTAGGTATTTTATTCTTTTTGAGATGCGATTGTAAATGGAGTTGTTTTCCTGATTTTTCTTTCTGCTAGTTCATTGTTAGTATATAGTATAGCATATAGATTTCTGTGTATTAATTTTGTATCCTGAAACTTTGCTGAATTCATTTATTAGTTCTAGCAATTTTGGGGTGGGTTCTTTAGGGATTTTTATATACAATATCATGTCATCTGCAAACACTGACAGTTTAACTTCTTCCTTATCTGTCTGGATGTCTTTTATTTCTTTCTGTTGTCTGAATGCCATGGCTAGGACATCTAGTACTATGTTGAATAAAAGTGGGGAGGGTGGGCATCCTTGTCTTGTTCCTGATCTTAGAGGAAAAGCTTTGAGCTTTTCACTGTTACGAATGATATTGGTTGTGGGTTTGTCATATATGGCCTTTATTATACTGAGGTATTTGTCCTCTATACCCATTTTGCTGAGAGTTTTTATCATGAATGGATGTTAAATTTTGTCAAATGCTTTTAGAGCATCTATGGGGATGATCATGTGATTTTTGTCCTTTTTGTTGAATTGGTATATGATGTTGATGGATTTTCGAATGTTGTAGCATCCTTGCATTCCTGGAAAAAATCCCACTTAATCATGATGCATGATCTTTTTGATGTGTTTTTTTAATGCAGTCTGCTAATATTTTGTTGAATATTTTTGAATCTATATTCGTCAGGGATATTGGTCTGTAATTTTTTTGTATGTGTGGTGCCTTTGCCTGGTTTTGGTATTAGAGTGATGCTGGCCTCATAGAATGAGTTTGGAAGTATTTCCTCTTCTTCTACTTTTTGGAAAATTTTAAGGAGGATGAGTATTAGGTCTTCGCTAAATGTTTGATAAAATTCAGCGGTGAAGCCATCTGGTCCATGTGTTTTGTTCTTAGGTAGTTTTCGATGAACAATTCAATTTCATTGCTGGCAATTGGTCTGTTCAGATTTTCTGTTTCTTCGTGGGTCAGCCTTGGAAGGTTGTATTTTTCTAGAAAGTTGTCCATTTCTTCTAGGTTATCCAATTTGTTAGCATATAATTTTTCATAGTTTTCTCCTGTAAATCTTTGTATTTCTGTGGTGTCTGTAGTGATTTTTCCTTTCTCAATTCTGATTCTCTTTATCGGTGTACACTCTTTTTTTTTTCTGGATAAGTCTGGCTAGAAGAGTTATCTATTTTGTTTTTTTTCTCAAACAACCAGCTCCTGCTTTCATTGATTCTTTCTTTTATTTTATTCTTCATGATTTTATTTCTGCTCTGATCTTTATTATGTCCCTCCTTTTACTGACTATGGGTGTCATTTGTTCTTCTTTTTCTTGTTTTGTTAATTGTGTTTAGACTGTTCATATGACATTGTTCTTTTTCCTGAGGTAAGGCTGTATTGCAATATTTTTCCCTCTTAGCATGGCCTTTGCTACATCCCACAGATTTTGCAGTGATAAGTTATTCTTGTCATATGTCTCCATATATTGCTTGATCTCTGTTTTTATTTGGTCATTAATGGACTGATTATTTGGGTGCTTCATGTGTTTGTGGGCTTTTGTGTTTTCTTTGCATAATTTATTTCTCATTTCATACCTTTGTGGTCTGAGAAGCTGGTTGGTACCATTTCAATCCCTTTGAAGTTACTGAGGCTCTTTTTGTGACCAGTATATAATCTCTTCTTGAAAATGTTCCATTATACTTGAGAAGAATGTGTATCCTGCTGCTTTTGGGTGGAGTGTTTTGTAGGTGTGTGTTCGGTCCATCTGTTCTAATGTGTTTTTCAGTGCCTCTTTTTCCTTACTTATTTTCTGTCTGGTTGACCTGTTGTTTTTCGTGAGTAAAGTGTTTAATTCTTCTAAAATGAATACATTGCATTCTGTTTCCCTCTTTAACTCTGTTAGTATTTGTTTCACATATGTAGGTGCTCCTATGTTGGGTGCATAGATATTTATAATGGTTATGTCCTCTTGCTGGATCGACTCTTTTATCATTACATAATGTCATTCTTTGTTTCTGTTACTTTTTTTGTTTTGATGTCTATTTTGTCTGATACAAGTACTGCAATTCCTACTTCTCCCTATTATTTGCATGAAATATTTTTTCCATCCCTTCAGCTTTGGTCTGTGTATGTCTTTGGGTTTGAAGTGAGTCTCTTGTAGGCAGCATATAGATGGGTTTTGTTTTTTCATCCATTCTGTAACTGTGTGTATTATGACTGGTGTATTCAGACCATTTACATTTAGAGTGATTATAGAAAGATATGTGCTTATTGCCATTGCACAGTTTAGGTTTGTGGTTACCGAAGGTTCAAGGGCAGCTTCTTTACTATCTAATAGTCTAACTTGCTTATTTTCTCCTTTTTCTTCCTCCTGCACTCTTTATATGTTAGGTGTCATATTCTGTACTCTTTGTGTATCCCTTGACTGACTTTGTGGGTAGTTGATTTAATTTTGTATATGTTTAGTAATTAATTGGTCTACTTCCTTTACTGTGGTGGTATTTTCTCTGGTGACAACTGTTTAGCCTTAGGAGCCCTTTCCTCTATAGCAGTTCCTCCCAAATACACTGTAGAGACGGGTTTTGGGAGGGAATTTCCCTCAACTTTTGCTTAGATGGAAATTGTTTAATCCCTGCTTCTAATTTAAATGGTAATCTTGCTGGATAGAGTATTCCTGGTTTGAGGCCCTTCTGTTTCATTGCATGAATTATATCATGCCACTCCCTTTTGGCCTGTAAGGTCTCTGCTGAAGAAGTCTGATGATAGCATGATGGGCTTCCCCTTAAACATGGCCATTTTTTCTCTTTCTGGCTGCATTTAATAGTCTGTCCTTATCCTTGATCTTTGCCATTTTAATTATTATATGTCTTGGTGTTGTCTTCCTGGTTCCCTTGTGTTTCGGTATCTGTGCACTTCCATGGCCTAAGAAACTATTTCCTTTCCCAGACTGGGGAATTTTCCAGCAATTATATCCTCAAAGAGACTTTCTATCCCTTTTTCTCTCTCTTCTTCTTCTGGCACCCCTGTAATGTCAATATTGTTCTGTTTGGATTGGCCACACAGTTCTCTCATTATTCTTTCATTCCTAGAGATCCTTTTTTCTCTCAGTGCCTCAGCTTCTTTGTATACCTCTTCTCTGACTTCTATTTCATTTGTTGTTTCCTCTACTTCATCTAATCTGCTTCTAAATCCTTCTCTTTTTTGTTTCATTTCAGATACCATATTTTTCAAAGTGTCTATCTCTTTCTTGAAGGTGTGCCTGAGATCTTGAATATTTTTCTTTAGGTCCATTAGTATGTTTGTGATTTTTATTTTGAGATCTTTATCAGGAAGATTGGTGATTTCAGTTTCACTTAGCCCTCTTTCTGTTGTTTGTGGGATCCTTGTTCATACAAAATTCTCATGCCATTTCATATTTCTAATGATTACTATGGAATAATAACTTTGTCTAGGCAGCACCCTCTTTTGCCCAGAAGCTCTACTCTCTGGAGCTCCCCAGTACCCAGAGCAATGCTGGTGATCGCAGGCACATGCCACTGGTGCCTGCTGGGAGGAAAGAGCTCTTACTTGCTCTCCAGCTTCAGTGCCTTCCTCCAGTCCCAGGGCCACTGGGCCAAGCATGCAGGGAGGAGCCTCTGTGTTATGCCCCTGTAGCTTCCATAAGTTGGCCCTCCCTCCTTCTGGTCTGTCTCAATGGTAGGAGCTGCAGGTGAGCGTACAGGTTCTGTCTGGGAGCGGCAGGCTGCAGTATTGCAGTTGGGTCCTTGGGACTGTTTTGCCAGCCATGGGGATGGAGTGCTTGAAGCTCCTGAAAGTTCCCACTTGCTGGACTTAGTGTGCTAGGATGATTTTGTTCACCTGTCTCCTTTCTCCTGAGAAGCAAGCTCTGTATAATCCTTGCCCCATTAGCACTGCTCCTACTGTTGGGAAGTCTTTCAAAGTGCCCACCTTTTTTTTGTCTCAGAGTGGCCAGTTGTGGGTACCTGTTCTCCATAAGTGGCTGGAATCTCAGTCTCTCTGAGTATTCCATCCATCTTTACTTTCCAACCCCACTAGTCTCCAGAGCACCATGTAATGTGAGTTCGTGCTCCCAGAGCAGATCTCCAGGAGTGGGTGTTTAGCAGTCCTGGTTTTTTACTCCATCCCCACTTTGTTTCTCTTCCTTCACCTGTGAGCTGGGGTGGGAGGGAGGGCTTGGGTCCTGCAGCATTGGGTCTTTGCTAGTTTACCCTTTTCTGTGAGGTCTTTTCTTTTCCCCAGATGTAGGCAGTCTGTTAGTCTTCTTTCAGGTTGCTCTTTACAGGTTGCTGTATTTTTGTGTTATATGTTGTTTTGGGTGCCTCACTTCTCATGCCACCATCTTTTTCTGGAAGGCCATAACATATCTTCTTAAATGTCTATAAATATCTAGGAAGGGGAAAGGAGGAAGGGTGTATTTTATCTAACAAGTTCTGAGCACATTGAGAAAAGCAATTACCTCATATGCAATTCTTATTTTGATCCCCTGGATTATTTAGGAAATGGAAAAGCACATAAATACTTAGGATATACTTGCTTACCTGATTGAGTTTCTCCATTCTTACAGGTGATAAAGCAGTACCACTCTTCACTTCTCAGATGTCCCCTGCCAAGATGTCTGTGACGCTGCCCTCAGTGAATCTGGAGGACTGCTTGCAGTCTCCAATCATCAGCACCATCCAGGGGGACACTGACTCCTCAGAAGAAGATACCTTCTGAATGGGAAGTGAGAGCCAGCGCAGTGTTTGTGCCACTGGTTTTGAGGTCATTTTTCTCTGGCATGAAACCATCTCTCAGATTATCTTGGTCTTTGAGCATACTCTGAAAAATGATTTCTAACTTTGTACTAATGTGAAAGGCATAATTTTGGTGTTTAGGTACTTTTTTAAATAAAATAATTTAAAAAGAAGTCCTGAGTCTGGCTGTGAATTATTTCTTAGAATCCTGAGGCATCATGGAATAGTGGAAAGTCTATGACTTTGACACCTAAGTATTGATTATACAGATATAATTATTTGTACATAATCATGAAATTATGTTGTCAAGGTTATTCCTCCCAAATTTTTTATAACAAGTAGTTTGAAGTAATCCAATGCCTATCAATAAGGGACTGACTGAAAAAGTACTAGTTATTCTGTATAATGGAATACTATGCTGTACAAAAAGGAATTTTAAATATTTATGTGTTGATAGGATAGGGAATTATCTCTGAGAAATATTATTAAAGTGAAAGAAAGCCATGTTCGAAGTAGTGTGTGAATTGTGCTACCATTATTTAAAATAGGGTGGGGAGGAATTCAAATATATGGTGTGTATACACACATACACTTACATACATATATTTGCTTACATATGCATTAAATTTCTTTGGAAGGATGAGCTAGAAATGGCTGATTTTGCCTCCAGGACAGTGTTTTAGTTGCTAGGTCACAGGTTAAATGGTAGGAGTTAGGGATGACTATAGTTATTGTGTATTTGAATTTTAGTTGTGACAGGAGAAAATTATGAATGAGGTTCATTATTCATGTACCTTACAAATAACTTGTAAGCCTTTATATTTATAAACCTGTGAAATATGACTGGATTACCTATCAAAGCATAAATATATAAAATTAAAAGAAAATAAAAGCATGGCTTTGTAATCAGACATGTCATTTCTAATTCCAATTTCTTTACCTGCTTACTCTGTGATAGGAGCAAATAAGCCACTCCTTCACGGCTGCCTGAATAAATGGGTTTAATACCTTTTTGCAGGATAATGGGGATTATCAGTGATGTTGAGGATAGTGCCAGCACAGTGCCTGTGCATGGTTGGCAGTTGGTATCACTATCTTGAGAGACTGAACATGTCACACTAGAGCGTAAGCACAGGAGAAGAAGGGCAGCCTTGCATTAGTAAAAATAGTTACCTTCCCAAGAATTTTTTTGTTACAACTAAAGTTCAAACATGCATAACTACAGTCATCTTTGACTTTTCTCAGCATTTTTTCTAGGTTACTAAGTGAGTCCCAGCCCAGGCTGTAAATTAGAACCTCTAGGAGCTTTAATAATACTTGTGTTCCATTCCCAGGGATTTTGATATAATTGATCTGGGATGGAGCCTAAGCACTGATGCTAAAAAAAGCAAAAAAAAAACACCTTTCCTGGTCATTTAAATGTGCATTCAAGACTGAGAATTACTGAGAAGCAATTTAGATTCCTTCAATTTCTGGTATGGCCCAGGGCCTGGGGAACTTAGGAAGAGTTCAAAGATTTCTTCTCACTGAAGATAGAAGCTGCGGAAACCTATGGAAACTCAGAAATGTGTCAGCCTTCCACACACATTTCGTCTTATGTCACAGCACCTCAAGCTTCCTTCAGATTCCTGCTGATGGAAATGCTTTAGTTTTCACTTTAGAATCTATTTTTCTTTGGTATGGCCTTTTAGACAATTTTGCTTGTAAATAGTTCCCATTAAACTAGTATAAGAAAACACTGTTCTCTGAGTCATAATTAATATTTGATATTCATCTACAAGTCTCTGAATAGGGTGAAAGTTGCTTCATTTTAAACATTACTCCCCTTGGATTCAGGTTCTGAAAGCTTTTGCTGTTTGAGAAGGATGTTTCTTAACTTTAGCAACAGCATTTTTAATTTAAAGGTATTTTAAACTTTTAATTTAAAAACGTTTCCGCCTAACCATAAGAAACTTGACTTTTCTAATTGTAGGTAGAAATATAATCTTTGAGTTATTCCACTTGTCGTGCACTTGAACTCTTAAAAGGAAAAGTTTTGTTTCTGATCATCAGTATTTCATTTTATAGGATAATTTCTGGCCAGGGTTACATATATGTGTGTGTGTGTGTATATGTGTGTGTGTATATATATATATATGTGTGTGTGTGTATGTGTGTGTGTATATGTATATATATATATATATTCCTCTGCCAACCACCTCAAATTCTTTTGTAATAAAACTATGTATGTAAAAGTAAATTAAATGCATTTATGATATAGAAGCTTTAAAATTTATAATTTTCAACTTCTGGAATGAACTATGCATTTTATAGTTTTCACCTTCTAGAAAGACATGCTATTAGGAGGTAGACTATCAAGATCAAGAATGTTAATATTGCTGGGTTTACATACCTTAACATCAGGATAACAGGTATTCAAAATGTTCCCTTGGTACAAATGCTAAGATAAACTTACTTGTTGTGCACACTAACAGAATCTTGAAGAAATGTTTTTATTTTCAAAAGATTATTTCAGTGTATCTCTTATGACATGTATATTCCTAGTGTCTTAAATTTTTTTCTTAAATACTAAATATATATTTAGATCAGTTTTTGAAATTTACTCTTTATTTTTAAAAAATTTTTTATTAAGGTATTATTGATATACACTCTTATGAAGATTTCACATGAAAAAACAATGTGGTTACAACTTTACCCATATTATCAAGTCCCCACCCATACCCCAATGCAATCACTGTCCATCAGTGCAGCAAGAAGCCACAGATCCACTATGTCCTTTCTCTTTGCTACACTGTTCTCCCTGTGATCCCCCACACCATGCATACTAAACATAATATCCCTCAGTCCCCTTCTCCCTCCCTCCCCACCTGCCCTACCACTCCCTGTCCCTTTGGTAACACCTAGTTCCTTCTTGGGGTCTCTTGAGTCTGCTGCTATTTTGTTCCTTCAGTTTTGCTTCATTGTTATAATCCACAAATGAGGAAAATCATTTGGCACTTGTCTTTCTCCACCTGGCTTATTTCACTGAGCATAATGTCCTCCAGCTCCATCCATGTTGTTGCAAATGGTAGGATTTGTTTTCTTCTTATGGCTGAATAATATTCCATTGTGTATATGTACCACATCTTCTGTGTCCATCTACTGAGGGACACTTAGGTTGCTTCCATATCTTGGCTATTGTAATAAGTGCTGCGATAAACATAGGGGTGCATATGTCTTTTTTGAGTCTGAGAAGTTGTATTCTTTGGGTAAATTCCAAGGAGTGGGATTCCTGGGTCAAATGGTATTTCTATTTTTAGTTTTTTGAGAAACCTCCATATTGCTTTCCACAGTGGTTGAAGTAGCTTACATTCCCACCAGCAGTGTAGAAGGGTTCCCCTTTCTCCACATCCTTGCCAGCATTTGTTGTTGTTAGTCTTTTCGATGCTGGCCATCCTTGTTGGTGTGAGGTGATATCTCATTTTGGTTTTAATGTGCATTTTCCTGATGATTAGTGATGTGGAGCATCTTTTCATGTGTCTGTTGGCCGTCTGAATTTCTTCAGAGAAGTGTCTGTGTAGATCCTCTGCCCATTTGTAAATCGGGTTATTTGCTTTTTGGGTGTTGAGGCATGTAAATTCTTTATATATTTTGGATGTTAAACCCTTGTAGGATATGTCATTTACAAATATATTCTCCCATACTGTAGGATACCTTTTTGTTCTGTTGATAGTGTCTTTTGCTTTACAGAAACTTCTTAGTTTGATGTAGTCACATGAGTTCATTTTTGCTTTTGTTTCCCTTGCACAAGCAGATCTGTTCAGGAAAAAGTTGCTCATGTTTATATTCAGGAGATTTTTGCCTATGTTGTCTTCTAAGAGTTTTATGGTTTCATGACTTACATTCAAGGCTTTGATCCATTTCAAGTTTACTTTTGTGTATGGGGTTAAACAATAATCCAGTTTCATTCTCTTGCATGTAGCTCTCCAATTTGCCAACACCAGCTGGTGAAGAGGCTTTCATTTCCCCATTGTATGTCCATGGCTCCTTTATCATATATTAATTGACCATATATGCTTGGGTTTATATCAGGGCTCTCTAGTCTGTAGACCCATTGGTCTATGGGTCTGTTTTTGTGCCAGTACCAATTCGTCTTGATTACTGTGGTTTTGTAGTAGAGCTTGAAGTTGGGGAGCATAATCCCCTCAGCTTTAGTCTTCCTTCTCAGAATTGCTTTGGCTCTTCGAGGTCTTCTGTGGTTCCATATGAATTTTAGAACTACATTCTCTAGATCGTTGAGGAATGCTGTTGGGATTTTGATAAGAAATGCATTGAATCTGTAGATTGCTTTAGCCAGGATGGCCATTTTGACAATATTCTTCCAATCCATGAGCACTGGATGTGTTTCCATTTATTGGTCTCTTCTTTAATTTTTCTCATGAGTGTTTTGTAGTTTTCAGAGTATAGGTCTTTCACTTCCTTGGTTAGGTTTATTCCTAGGTATGTTATTCTTTTTGATGCAACTGTGAATGGAATTGTTTTCCTGATTTCTCTCTCTGCTAGTTCATTGTTAGTGTACAGATATGCCACAGATTTCTGCGTATTAATTTTGTATCCTGCAACTTTGCTGAATTCAGATATTATATCTAGTAGTTTTAGAGTGGATTCTTTAGGGTTTTTTATGTCCAATATTATGTCATCTGCAAACAGGGATAGTTTGACTTCTTCCTTGCCAATCTGGATGCATCTTATTTCTTTATGTTGTCTGATTGCCTTGGCTAGGACTCCCATTACTGTGTTGAATAGAAGCGGGGAAAGTGGGCATACTTGTCTTGTTCCCAATCTTAAAGGAAAAGCTTTTAGCTTCTCGCTGTTAAGTATAATGTTGGTTGTGGGTTTGTCATATATGGCCTTTATTATGTTGAGGTACTTGCCTTCTGTATCCATTTTGTTGAGAGATTTTATCATGAATGGATGTTGAATTTTGTCAAATGCTTTTTCAGCATCTATGGAGATGATCATGTAATTTTTGTCCTTTTTGTTGATTTGGTGGATGATGTTGATGGATTTTCAAATGTAGTACCATCTTTGCATCCCTGGAATAAATCCTACTTGATCATAATGCATGATCTTTTTGATGTATTTTTGAATTCAGTTTGCTAATATTTTGTTGTGTATTTTTGCATCTATGTTC